GCACTTTGTGTTGTCCTTTCTAGTCAGTAATGCATTAATAATGCCTTGTGTGTTAATGGCATTATCGCCTTGTTTGCGGTAAAATGACTCAAAAATATTTACAAGTGCTTAAATATTATGAATAGGTGACAAACACATGGAAGGAGGCATATATTTGAAGTAGTTAAGACTTGGATAGAACTCGGAATATATTAAGATATATAGATTAAGACTTAAATAGTTGACTCACTCTCTCTCTCTCTCTCTCTCTGTATATATATATATATATATATATATATATATATCTGTGTGTGTGTGATAAGATGAATAGCAAATACGAAAGGTTTATCAATCTAACATGTTTCACATTTATTAAGGCTTCATCAGAAAATTCTCATTCTATGGAGAATAAGAAGGAAATTCTGGTATTTTTACTTTTGTGTTGTTTGATTTTTATTGGTCAGTCGTGTTTCATGTGCAATTGATTTTAAAAAGTAACTTTAGTATAATATGCGGTCTTTCAAATGTAAGGAGAGACGACTCGTTATAATAACGATCTGCCCGGCACAGGGACTGAACTAACAAACCTTTCGTCATATATATATATATATATATATATATATATATATATATATGTGTGTGTGTGTATGAAAATATATCGAAAATAGGAAAGAACTGGTTAGGTAAATAATCCAAAGTTCCTTAGTATTTTAGTTATTATTTTTTAAAAATAGTGCTCGATACAAAAGTAGAGCATAAATATAATTATTTATTTGATGTCGCGAGTTGGAATCATATTTTTAAATAAATAATTATATATATATATATATATATATATATATATATATATATATATATATATATATATGTATTGAATAATGAAATATTAAAATTTTCAGACACTCTGGGTTGCATATTGATATTTTTGGGTTTATTATTTGAATTAGGTTCTTTCAGCCAACATGGCAATCACCAGGAGAAAAAAGAAATCCCTGCTTGTTAGCCGCAGTGAACTACAGAAGTGAATGACATTTTCTGAAGAAAGTGAACCTTATCTGTAGTTTTCATTTGTTTTTGATCATTAATTTTGGCCAGTTCTTTTTGTTTTCGGTCAAACGTTGTCTTTCAAGTTGTTTTTAAGACAGAGGACGGGTGATTATCGACTTTCACAATACCCTCTTTGGTCTTTTTGTCAGTTTTATTGGTTGCTAGGAAAGGCATGTGAGCGTTAAGTGTACGTTATCTTTTAGTTCTTTGGGAGTGTGTGTGATTTGTGCATATCTACATATTTGTGTGATTGTGTGTATAAGTGTGAGACCTAATGTCTGTGTGTGTGGATGAGAAATGTGGGTAGGGCTTCATTTATAGAGTTATATATTAATTCTATGTTGTTAACTTTGTGGTTAAGCCCGTCTGGACGAAATGTTTTCAGGCGCAAAATCCATTTGTCTTCATGCTCCTCTAGTATTTTTATAAGTTTATATTTTCTATCTATTTCTATTTTTCAATTATAGTGAATTCTGCATGGCTTTTAAAATCATATTTTTCTAGGCGGAAATGTTCGTGGGGAGCCAACTTGATCCGATTTCGATAATTATTAATTCTGTAGTGAAAGGTCTGTTCAGATTTTTCCACATATTGTTTCTATCATAGTGTGCATTTTAATAGGTAAATTATGTTAGGACTTCTACAGTTAGAGTTGTGGTACATTTTGAAAGTAGTGTTAATGATTGAACTGGTAAACGAATTGGTATGCCTAATGCCTTTACAACATAGCCACTTTTTGTTGTTACATGGTTGTGAAAACCCTGTTGTTTTTATTTTTGGTCTATTACAGGTTACCTTATCATCTGAAATGTGGTTACTACCTATAATTTTGTAAAGGTACTTAGGCCTACAATATGATAGAAGGCCGGGTTCATCAAAGTTTTTAGGTCTGGTTTGAGATGTAGTATTCCAAGGAACTGAGCTGCTTGACCCTCATACGTCGAATACGACGAGTCCACCATATATATATATATATATATATATATATATATATATATATATCTTTAATGTTACTGGCTAATGTAATTGTAGGAATTCTGAATTCTGACTAATGCCAATTTCCAAACAAATGTTTAGCTAAATCCCTTTTTTGACTATGTACTATCTCTACAACAGAGACTCCGACGGTTGAAAAATTATATATTGATAGTACTAAGAATTCTTTCAGGACACGGTGGTATCACTAATAATATTTAGAGAAATAATACATCACTTTCTAAATATTTTTTAGTTTGAAAGATGATAATAACCATTGATTATCTGAGATAGTGGAGAAAGTGTGTTGTTGAATAGGTTACTAGAGGGATGCGTCTGGATCCATTTTTAATTTTATACATTAGGGTGTATTCTCTGGGTGTGAAAACTGCCTTTTTTTCATCTGTTCCTTGATTAGGTGTTGTTTATAGCCCCGTGTTGTGAACTGAGAATCGAGATTTTTAGTGTGTTTACTTAGTTCTTTAATTTTAGAACATATCCTTTTGAGTCTAAGTGCTTGTGAACAGGGAAGATTCTACTTGAGGTGTTTTGGGTGGGAGGACTTAAAGCGTAGAGAGTAGTGAGTGTCGACGATTTTAGTGCGTAGTGTCGTGTGTAGTTTTCTGTTTTTACCAATGTAAATGCGGGTGTCTAAAAATTTTACCGATATTGTTGATTAATCTGGTGGAACCTAATGGAGTCGTGTTCCATGTTTAGGGTCATAATTAATTCAGTGAGGTTCTTCTTATTGTCCCTGTGCATAAAGAAGATATCATCGATATATATATTGCACAGAATATGCAGTCGTTATGAAGGGATAAATATGAGTCGCCTCACATTTTCCCAGGAAGATTGTGGCATATGATGGAGCTACAACGGTACTTATGGCTCGTCCTCTTACTTGTAGGTAGTGTTTTCCATTGAAATCGAAAGTATTAATATAAGAATATGTTCCATAGGTTTTATGATAATTTCTATGGGAGGGTCTTATTGTGTTCTCTTAGTGCTCCTTTAAGGGCAGTTATTCTATCGGTGTGTTTGATCTTTGAATAAAGTGATCTTACGTCACTGTTTACTACAGTAGCATTTTCTGGCAAGGTTTGTATAAGATTCTGTTTAGTAGGTCTGTTGTGTCTCTGATGTAGGATTTTACTTCCTTAGCTAGGGTCCGTGTAGAAATGGTCTGCGTATTTGGATATTTTGTTCGTGTGGCAGTTAAATGATGAATAGACCGGTCTTCCTGGGTTGTTGTTTTGTGCATTTCGGGAAGGAGATAGAAGTGGACAGGTGTGAAGTTTGTGGGTGTAAGTGTTGTGCATGTTTCCTTGTTAATTAGTTTGTTTTGAAGCATCATGTTTAGTGAGGTTGTTATTTTTTTCGGTATTCAGGGAGTGGGGATGCGGTTAGGCTGTTGTCACAGTTTTTTTCGGTTAGCTGATTGTTGGCATCGTTAAGATATTTTTTGATTCCCCAGATCCTTGTGTCACCAGTCTTTTCAACCTGTGTAATGATTAGGTCACCTTTATGTGATAGCGTCATATATATATATATATATATATATATATATATATATATATATATATATGTGTGTGTATATATATATATATATATATATATATATATATATATATATATATATATATATATATATATATATATATATATATATATATATATATATATTATACTAGATATATCTAATGGCCCAATATATATGTAATATCCTAATATATATATATATATATATATATATATTATCCGAATATATATATATATATATATATATATATATATATATATATTATACTAAATATATCTAATAGCCTAATATATATCTAATATATATATATATATATATATATATATATATATATATATATATATATATATTGGATCGAAAACATGTCAAAATCACTACACTATACTATTGCAGCCGTGTTTCGATGCCTATCAAATGCATTTCATCACTCGATTGTAAATTACTTGTGAATGATCGTTTTATTTAGATTTAAAAGCAAAATGCAACATCTTTTTTACAAAAAAAAAAAGAAAAAAAAGAAAAAATGCGGTATATAAGGTTTGTGGGCTTTACCCAGATCAACCAATTGAATATGACCTACGCTGAATTTAATCTAAGTGAAAAAGCAAACAAAAATTAAGTCATTATTTTCCATAAATGGGTCATGGCTCGCAGATTGACAATCAATAGCAGTACAGACGTTAAACAAGAGCGGATGTTAATCGATACATATTTTACACACCAGAAAATTATTTCATGACAAAAAATGGGAGGGAGCGGTAATTTAACAACATGTTATACAAGTTATATTCTTTGTGAGTTTCTTACAATTTTTTTTATAGCTGATGAATAAATAGCTTCTTTAAGAAACCAATACATAATATAAACATATAGAATTACTTGGTAAATTAGTATGTAACTGTTGACTAAAGATTCTTTATATAAGAATGTTAATAACAATAACCAATCAATGCAAAATCTCACAAATACCAACCAAACACCAACACATCCGTACAAGATGTTACCAATACTACCAGGGCATTAATACAAAATTATATTAAATCCAAATTAATCTTACAAATAGAAAGCCATATATGACGCAACATAATTCAACTAAAATCCAAGAAAAAACATTGTCAAATTTCAAGTCTGAATTGTAAGGTAAAAGATAGATTGTGATTACAATTTAGCGTTTACTCGGATCTTTGGTTTAATAAAGCATTCTTATCAAAGAACCTGATAATTTCCCAAGACAGGGTTCATGTAAGAATCTGCCTGTCCTTGCGATTTTAAAAATTTTCCATTTCACCTTAGAAGTTTTATTATCATCTTTCAAACTCCAAAAATATTTAGAAAGTGATTTATTATTTCTATAAGTATTATTAGTGATAGCACTTAGTCTTGAAAGAATTCTTAGTACAACCAATATCGAATTTTTCAACCGTCGGATTCTCTGTACATAGTCAAACAGGGGATTTAGCTAAACATTTGTGTGGAAATTGGCATGAGAGAGAGAGAGAGAGAGAGAGAGAGAGAGAGAGAGAGGACTCTTCCGACGTATGAGAGTCAAGTAGCTCAGTTCCTTGGAACCGACATCTAGACACCGGCACATTTGATTTAATTATAGTGGTGAAGGTTTTGTGTAGAACCGTACAAGCTTTTTGAATATCCGAATAGAGAGACCTGCGCTAAGTACCACAAGGTTCCCAAATGACTCTCCACAGGTTTTGAATTCAGATTTGTCCTTCTCTTAGATCATCTATAGCCCTCCAAGGCTATAGAACCCAGTGTGTCCTGGTATTTACCCATAGCTGGAGGGAGAAGAAAAGGATTACTACCTTTCCAAAGGGTATTAGCATTAAGTGAATGTAATGGATTCGACGGGAATTCGAATTCTCCGCTTCCTCATCCGAGCCGAGCCACTACTCTCTCTCTCTCTCTCTCTCTCTCTCTCTCTCTCTCTCTATCTATATATATATATATATATATATATATATATATATATATATATATATATATATCATAAAAAAATTGACATTAAAAATAGCTTCTTTTTCACATAATGTCTTTGATGCAATCTATCTTTCAACTGAAAATTTTAAATGTATGAGAAAAGGTTAATGTCCGCGAAATTCGGAGGAATACGTTTTGAATTGTTTATTTTTTTTTAAATACAGGGTGAATTGAAAAGTAACTCCCTATTTTATGTATGATGGACTTTCCCGTCGTGCAAAAATTATAGATAGGCGGGACAGTCCTTCATACATAAAATAGGGGGTTACTTTTCAATCACCCTGTACTTTTAATCCTTTTTTTGGGCGAATGTTCATTCTTTCACATCATTAGGGCGATTTTCTAAGCGTAACTTAGTTGTGGCACAAGGACGGTAGCATGGTGCACCCAGTGAGAATCGAACTCACTATTCAGTAATAACTAATTAAGCGAGACAAGGTTGCTAACCATTACACCACGTCGGAGTCAACAAAGGTTTTTTTATGTTATTTAGGGTTGAGAAAGCTAATTCCTATAAATAAGAATTAGAAAATTGAAATAAAAAAGGGAAAGCCTAATATAAGTTACAAAGTTTAATATTATATTCCTTTATTCAAATACTAATAAGGATCTGTCAACGGGAATTTTTAGTTGGGCACGAATCTGCTAGACATTATCTCAGTTGCATATTAGATTATGAAGAAATAAGCCATTGTTTCTCAACCTTTTTAAGCTATGGTAAACTTAGGAGCAAATGAAAATATCACGGCACATTACGAAAATTTTTAAAAGGGTATACATTTAAATGTTATGAAATAAAACCATAGATTTACAAAAATACACACACACAAATATGAACTTAGTTTCTTTCAGGATTTCTATTTCACTATTTGTGCTGCTTATTTAGTGTGAGACCTGTGCCTGGTGTTTTTCGCGATTATTTTTAATGTTTGGTCGCATGTGCGATAACCAGATTCATTTTCTGGGTGTATTCTTTCTCGTTTCATAATTTTTATGTTATTTAGTGTTGAGAAGCCTGAGAGAACCATTCATCATGACTGAAGAAAACTGGGGACCTGCTCTGTGATATTGAAACGTTAGGTACTTCGTATTAAATGTTACAAATCAGTTTCGCCTCAACTCAGCCGTGCTGGTCAAAAGAGACATCAGGTGCTAAGTTCGGGTTATCCAGACTTTTCGTGGTGCTCCCATAAACTCTGTTATCGTTTGCTAGTGATATGTCCTAGTAATCTGAGAACGTTCTTCAGTGGATTGTTCATCCAGGATGCGATGGGTAAATTGTCATCTAAATTACGCTAAAATGAAAATAAGACTGACATCTCATTTCAACAGATATATTTAATAAAATTAGACAAACGTATCTTGAAATACTAAAGAGTATATTTATTCAATAAAATCGCCATTGGCTTCAACCCCGGCCTTCAGACGATTTCGGAATCTCTTGCTTCTCTTCTGGACGGTCTCCTTGTTTAAGTATGTGAATGCTGCCATAATAATTGCCTTCAATTTATCTTTGGTATTACAAGACGTTTTGTAGGTCCCTCGCTCAACTGTGATCCACACATAACAATCAAGGGAGTTAGCTGGCCAGATGTAAGGGGTGGTGTGGTCGCAGAAATTATCTGGGTTCTCCTGCCTGTGTGACATTGTGCAGAGTCCTGTTATCAGACATAGATTCTTTCAGCAGCCACTATCATGACCTAGGGTAACACTACCTCATTAAGGCACTTGACGTAGGCCTCCGCGTTCAGTCTGACGCCCTGCGGGAAGATGAATGGAGACATAACGTTACCATCACTAGTGATCACTCCAAACACCACGATGTTGACTGGATATATCATCCAAATCTTTCCGAATCATCTGCCTTGTCATCAGATGTACACCCAAACACATATCTGCTCGTATTGGAGCTTCCGGCGCGAATGCCAAGCAGTAGAGCATACCTTTCCAAATTTTTGAAGGAGTGAATTGCAGCACAGTGTTTTTTTGTTTCTCACAGACGATGCCCAACTGACTCTATTATACTGTGCAGTCGACAAAATAAAAAAAAACAACGCGCATGCGTGAAATTAAAAATACAAAATGGCGACTGTTTACCCATCGCACGCTGTATATATAAGAGACAAGTTGATCTGTTGTTTAAATATTTCATGTATTCTTCTAATGTTCTAACGATTTGTTGCTTATTCATGTCAAAGTTGTGGAACCCTATGAAAAGTTCAAGACTTTATTCGAGTTCTTGCGACGTATAAGTATCATGAACCAGACATTGCTACTATTATATATAAGTGTTAGCCATTTTTGGTAGCGTTCAACTTTAGATATATGTGTATCGTATACCATTCAGCCAGAGAAGCGCACCTGGTGGCAAGATAAGGTAATTAACCTGTTTTTCAAAAGAGAATTATTTTTTATTGTTTAAATACTTTGAACTAAATAAAAAAAATGCATTTCAGATAACCGATAACTTTTCTAAGTAGACTTAGTTTTTTGTTCTAACTAATTAGTTCCGATAAAGCCGGTTTCTGTTGAAGATGAGTGGCTATATAAGTGTAAATGCAAACATACAGTTGAGACAGTAGAATCAGGGGACAAATTTTCATAATAAAAATCATGAGGACACTACGAACGCCTGTTTCATCAAACTTAGTCTAAAAGAGATCTTATTTCCTCGTTTCACTCTAACAATAATTTCTATTTTCTTAAATTCAAGATAAGTATTTTCGCAGTTACAGATGAAGGAAAAGTGCCGATTAAAACGTAGATATTTTTTATCATTTAGGAAGTGCGATAATGCCACTAAGATGACAGCCAAAGAAAATGAGAGGTTTTTTAATCAAGAGAAAGGACGATAAAAGAAGAAAATTCGGAAAGACAGGTTATTTTAGTTGGCGTTCCATTTAAAGTTTTGAAATTCGCAGTTAACATTAAAGCAAGAAAATTCCGCAAGCGGGAATTGTGAAAATATGAGAAAAGAACTTATCGTGACATCTTGCTCTTCCAACAGTAAAACAATGAATCCCCATTGATAATCTAGTGGTACGTTTAAATTCATGTTGCTTGGTTTGGTTTGATTTGGTATTTTACGGCATATCAACATCAATGGGTTATTTAATGACGACAGGATTTTAATGTTTGTAATATTTTTTCCAAGAATGTATTCTTGGTAATTTTTTTCACAACAAATATTGCTGGTATTAAAACCTATTTTTATACCTTCATAGTTTTTTGACATCTTTTTTTTTTGGGGGGGGATTAACTGTTTGCCCATAGCTGGGACCCTAACAGGTACTACCATCACAGGTCAGAGTGGGCCTGGGAAAAGCAGCAATTAAAGGGTCGTTCCATGCTCCTTAAAAGCTTCTATTCAAAGGCATTGCTGTTGGATGTAGTTTGTCGTCTTACCCGGGACGCGGATGTAGTTTATTTTCATACCACGGACGAAAATTTATGTGGTAGAGGTTCTAAAAAGACAAGATTTTCAGAACAGTGCCCATGAAAATATTTATAGAAAAGACAGATGGAAATCATTTTATAGCAGTGAGAAAGTGATTGAAGTCGAGATGCCAGTTCAGGGCCGATAATTTACGGAGTTCTTTTCGATCTTACAACTCAAAAATATACAACCGGAGCATCAGAGTATGCGACAGCAATCTTCAATGCATGGATTAATAGAAAATTTATAGACGTTTTGGATGAATTCTGGCGAGAAAAATTGACTGGCACAACACAACTTTCCTAGTAGTAGATCTAAAAATTGATTTATTATAATCATTTTGCTTAATGCTTCCGGAGAATAACAGGCCATTAGATCAAGATGGCGCATGTTTCTGTGATATTTGCTCAGAATTTGATGGTCTAAGTAATGAGAAACTGAAGGCAGGAATTTTTCATGTGACACAAATATGGAAACTGATTAACGATAAAAAATTTGTCTCTCACATGACTGAGATTGAGACTGCTGAATGACTTCTTTTGTTGCAGTTGGGAAAGGTTTCATGGGCAAAAACAAAGCGGGTAACTACCAAGAACTAGTCGAAGTAATGCTAAAAACTTCCGAACTCTTGGATCAAAAATGAGTATCAATTCCACTAACTCTTCAGCCATTTAAACAGATCCCCTGAAAACATTGTAAGCGAAGAAAAGGGAGAATATTTTCACCGAAACATCAAGACTATGACGAAGGTGCCAATCGAAAGCTCAGGTGATATCCGATTCCTGTTGGAAACTTATGTGTGATTGTCCTAAGTATACTCACAAAAGGAAGTCCTCTAAAAGAAGCTTCCTTCAGATGAAGTAAAGTACAATGACTTGGAGAGCTATTGGCCTTATGGATATTGGCCTTATGAGATATTGACCTTGTGAGATATAGGCCTTGTGAGAAATTTGCCTTATGGATATTGGCCTTGGGAGTTATGCTGAATAGGATAAAATACTTATTGTGCTAGTTTAATTTTGGTATGAAATTTGAATGGAAATTATATTTTTACTAGCAGGCTTTGCCCGCTCGCTATCGCTTCGCTAAGTAAGATATATTCACTACTTGAAATTTTGGAAGCAAAAATTTTATTTGAACATTTCAATCATAAATGTGCTTGTTATAGTTAAGGAAAGTTTTACAAATAGATGCCAACTTGTTGAAGGCTAATCAAAAATGCAAATTTCAAACACTTCTCTGCACTATATAAGACAATATTCTTAAACAGACCTATTTTTCATATGAAAATCAAAACAATGAAGGACAGTTAATGGGGAACAACTGCCCAAGGCCGCGCCCTCCATTGCACAAGAGAGAGGGATCGGTGCTCGCACCGAGGCCAGCGCTATCGACGATTGCGTGGGCTGTGGGGAATTTTTGTCCCTTGCCCGAGTGTACGCGCTCGGGTCCCTCCTTTTAAAAGACCTTGTGTCACATCTCGTTCTGGTGGGGGAACGAGTAAACACCGTATAAATTACTATAAAGTAATTTGTACGCATTATTTATCATCTCACATTTGCATCTCTGTCCTTGGACAGAGTGCGCTCAGGGGTTTCTTTGTGAAAGGACAGAGGGGCAACTGAGAAACTTATACTGAAGAGGTTCCCAGCCCTGGGGAACAGCTGCCCGAGACCGCGCCCTCCCATTGCACAACAGAGAGGGATCGGTGCTCGCCCCGAGGCCAGCGCAACCGAGGGTCTGCGGGGAATTTTTGTTCCTGTCCCGGGTGTACGCGCTCGGGTCCCCATTTTAAAAAGACCTTGCGTCACATCTCCTCATCGTTGGGGAACGAGTAAACACCGTATAAATTACTATAGAGTTGGGTTTTTTTAAAACCCCAGAACTTATTGGATAATTATGCTCTAGTTTCACATTTGCTCATATCAATTCATTAATATGGGTTTTACTTAATTAGATATTCTGTTTTTCTAACTCTTCAAATGCTGAATGTATAACTAATTCTAATGTCTATTTTCCCATCTATTTAATATAATAATTTTATCTTAGAAATTGTCCCCTGTTCTGTCACCCATGAAATAAAAATGATTGTGCGGAAAATAAGGACCTACGTGCATCACATCGTCTTTAAATTAAGTGGAAGCAGAAGAATTATCATTGAAATTTTAAAATGTAAGCTTAAACATTAATTCACTACTTAAATGCAGCGATGAATTTTAAGTTATTCTGTAGTTTATTGATGTCTATCGCATCTATTCTTCCCCATTGTAATGATGGCCAAATCAAGAATCCTCCACAGGAGCTAGTTTAAATACCGCCGGATACAAAAATAAAATAAGAGTTACTTCCCTTAAACCATGAAAGCTACCAAAATGTCTAGTATAATATATTAATACAGGGTGACCCCCAAAAACTGGAATTTTTGAAGTGCGTATTGCCAGACATGAGCAAGTGGCAACACTGCGAGACAGTGACCTTGAGCAAATAAACATTTCGCCATTTTAATAACCATGGATTAGTGGAACGGACAACAGCGTGCGTTAGCAGCAGTCAATAAGGAATTTCAACAGCAGATTTCAAGAATGCATTCGTACAGGAGGACGCTATCTACAGGACGTAATTTAAAAAAAATGAAAATTCCATCATTGTTTCTTAAATGGCATCTTTTAAGGTTTCAATTGCTATGAATAAAATATTTTTCTTCCATCACTCTTGGTTTTATTGGATTGTTAAAAAGTTCCCGTTTTTGGGTCACCCCGTATATGTTTTTAACCTCGCATAATCTGTCAACCCTGAATATGAACTCAACGAAAATCACTCCTATGCCTAATATTTATAGGGCTTTTGAATGAGCTATGAATCATTGAACTCAGACCAGAGGGAGCGGAGTAGTTCCTCGGATGAACACATGCACAAATACATCCACATACACAGTACTATATATATAAGATAGTTATACCTCTTAATGCTAGTGGAGAACAGGGGACCATGAAGCGCAAAGAGTTGATATTCTGGAGGTTAGCATCAGCCATGGTCATGGAAGGTAAAAATAAATTTTATCTGTGATGAGAGCAGTTTCGTTCTGGAGGCGTTGAAAATTGAAAAGAAATTCCTGTCCCAGTTAAAAACAGAACATATGTTTTGAGATATCGGATCTATAAAACGGAGTAAATATTTGTGTCTTTATTAGCATAAATACCTAGTTTAGAATTGATGACATTGGGAAGGTCGGTGGTGAAGATATGAGACAAAATGCGAGCTTTATGAGACAACGGCATTAATTGGAAAGGATATATTAGGTTGGTGCAAAAATAATGACGTAATAATGTCGTTTTTGGACGTACTTTTTAACGTCAAAAACGACATCATTACGTCATTATTTTTGCACCAATCTATACTAATAGAAAAATGAAACATAAATATGTTTGATAATACGATTTGTAAAAAAAAAAAAATTGAGGATGGAAGGAAGAGAGTAAAAGTAATGGAAAGAGGGAAATAAGGAAATGAAGGAAAAAAAAAACAAGGAAGAGTACAAGCATATGATGAGAGGAGAGAAGAAAGAAGTAAGGGAATAAGAGAAGAGAAAGAAAAAGGAAGAAGAAAAAGGACGAGCACAAATTGAGAAGAGGGAGAGGAATTAGTAAGGAAATAAGAGAAAGGAAGGGGAGAAATGAGGAAAGGAAGAAGACATGATGAAGAAGAAAAAGAATTTAATGAGAGGAGGGGAGGAAGGTGTAATTGAATGACAGAAAAAAGAGAAATGAGCAAGCGAAAAAGGGGAGGTGGGAAGGAAGAATAATGAAAATAAGAGAAAGGAATGAAGAAATGACGAAATGGTGTCGTTTTAAAATATGCTTGTTAAGATTATTACATTCACTTTAACACAAATGCTGTTGACAAAAAGGTAAGAATAAATCTTTTCCTGCTATTATTTACACATTAGAGCATGTCGAGGTCTCTCGCCATTGTTAGACACAAGTATAGTAAAATAATTACTTCGATGAATTTAATATATACTGTGTACTTACAAGGGATCCTCACACGCCAACTTCACTTCCCGAGCCTTTAACCACTAAGCTACGGTGGTATGGACAATGATATCTATCTATCTATCTATCTATCTATCTATCTATCTATCTATCTATCTTCCTCTCCTGCGATTTGTCTGTATGTCTTGAGTTTTCCTTACTTGTTTCTATCTATCTATATATCTATCTATCTACATGTTTCTATCTATCTACTTGTCTCTATCTTTCACAGTCTCCTCTTATTTGTCTGTCTGTCTTAACTTACTTGTTTCTATCTATCTATCTATCTATCTATCTATCTATCTATCTATCTATCTATCTATCTACTTGTTTCTATCTTTCTCAGTCTCCAGTGATGTGTCTGTTTTCTCTTGAAGTTTTCTTACTTCTATCTATCTATCTATCTATCTATCTATCTATCTATCTATCTATCTATCTATCTATGCACAAATCTGCGAACACACATTACTTACATATATGCGAACACACGTAAACACAGTCAAAAAACAAAAACTTATGGGGAGCCAAGTTTTATGTTTCATATAAAAAGGGAAGAAAGAGAGAATTTCTGAAAACGTTCTTTCATAATTGGATAGACAATGTCTATACTTATGTTTAAAAATGAATAAAATCAGGTCTTGCGCCATATCAGACGATGTCTATTAGAGGAAGCTGTGAGAATCGAGTGATTTATTTGATAAATCGAATGTATACTCCTCATATTTTAACCAGGTGACAAACAAGAGTCTGCGACTCAAGAACACTGGCTGGCACGTATATTGACGGCTCACGCTTCTCCAGCTTGTGAATAAACGAAAAACAAAAAAAGTCTATATTCCTTGAAGTACGAACGCGGGCTACTAAATTTTAGACGGCTCTTAGATTTTCTTTGGGGGGGAAAAACTTATTGTCCACTCAATATATAAACGGTGTTCCAATAACTTGGACCGATTTTTAATGCGATTTAAGTTTAAGCGTCTGATAGTTTTTTTTCTTTTTCTTTCGGAAATTTGGGCGATATTATTTTTCACACTTAATTGCCATCACTTGATTAAAATGATTCAATACAGAAATAAATAAATTTTCACCAATAATACTGATTTATTTACTGCTGATATTGATCCGTCTTAATGAAACACCCTTATATGTAATCCGTCTTAATGAAACACCCTTTATATATATTCTGCATAACTGATTTCTAACTTCCAAGAGAGTGATTCATTGCACCTTTATGTGCAAACTTTTTCCGTTGATATGAAGTGGAAAGATTATATTGAATCAATTACTTGGTCTGCTGCTAGGAAAATTGGTTCACTGTTTTGAGCTAGGCAGTTCTTCTCACCAGAATGAATCTTACATATTTATAAGACTACCAATTGTTCTTGCTTTGAATATTGCTGGCAAATCTGGCCTAGTAACTTCTGCTATGTGTTTAATGATTCTTGATAAGATTCAAAGAAGAATCTGCAATGTTACCGGGCCTGACCTGACATCTCGGTTCCAGTCACTCTTCCAGCGCCGTAATGTAGCTTCCCTATACCTTTTCTATAAGTATTTTCGTGGCAATTATTATGATGAGCTTTCATCTTTGGTGCCTAAATTTTATGAATGTAAAAGTGTCGTACTAGATTGACTGCCATCATTTTACCGCTTGATAAATTGCTAGTTGTAACGGTAAGTTCTATGTTAATAGTTTGTTTTCCAGCCAATTTTGATCTTCCAAAATTTAAATGCAATGTCAATCTCTATCTTCCATCTTCTTAATTGCTGTTCTTTGATTGTTCTCTTTCATAAACACTGTTGTTTTCTCGTATTCTTTAACACTCAGTAACCCCTTGCGACTTAGTGACTTTATTGCCATGCTTGAGCTGAAATGATTAACATATTTATTATAACAGCCTTCTTCAAGTGGTTGGATTGTCGAACTGAACCGTAGGGGTAGACTAGTTCCACGTGCCATGTTTAATGGATGTCAGTTATCTCCAGTAAATTCCCCTCTCCAGTTAATTCCCCTCTCCAAGTTCTCCACTGCCTTAACCGGGTATTGAACTCACACTCTTTGGGTCCTGTCACTGGATCTAACCAACGCCTTTATCCACTGTGTCATTAAGGATATCTGTGTATGAATTTCTGGGTATTATAAACCTAATGTCTTCAGCAACTATTTATTACCAGTGCTCATATTGCAAGTTTTGCATGTTTTTTTTTTGTTTTTTTTTTTACCAGAACTAGAACAGTCTACCCCAGTGAGTGAAATAAAGGTTTCAGTTCGACATTCCAATCACCTGAAGAAGGCCGGGGCGTACAACAACCGAAACGTTGTAATAAATATGGCGACAAAGATGAGGACAATAGTCCGAATAATGTAAATGGTGTACATAATACTTCATCTCAGAAATATAGACAGATTAAAAAAAGGTTGTTCCATTTTTCTTTCCAAGGAAGCAAAACATAAATAGATAGTGTTTATTCTATCTCAAGGAAAAGGAAGGAGAAAAAAACAATTTATTTGTTAAAGGTGATGGTATTTCTGAACGAATTTTCAAACTTATTCAATCATATGGAATAGCAAAATGAAAGTTAACCTACACTTTTAGATTTTTTGGCTTCACTTTTAGAACTTTTTTTTATATTAATACAGCTTTTCCACAGGGATCCATCCTTGGACCAATTTTGTCCCTAATTTTCATCAACAACCTTCCTGAACTCTGTATCTATTCCTAATGACGTAACTATAATACTCCTGCCCTAATAATGTCTGGGCGATTCGATAACGTCAAATTGGCACCTGATCTAAAAAAAATGATCTACATAGCGTTTTTAAATGGTGCAAGGAATGGCTTGTTAATTTTAACGCTTCCAAAACTACTCACTTTTAATCATTTGAAAAAATCCTTTTTTATCTTCCATCATCATATGGCTAATGCTAACCTCCAGTAGATTAAATCATTACACCTCGAACTAACCTTTTCTGCTGACATGAAGAAGATTATATTGAATCAATTACTAGGTCTACTGCCGTGAAATTCTGTTCCCTTGCGAAGTGCTAGAAACTCTTTCTCGCTAGAATCTATCTTACTGTATCATAAATCTACCACTGCATTGAATATAACTTCCACATCTGGCTTTGTGATACTGCTCTATATTTAGATATTCTTGATAAAATCCAAAGAAGAATCTGCAATGTTATTGTTCTTGATCTGGCATCTCGGTTTCAGTCTCTTTTCAACCGTCTTAATGTAGCTTCTCTGTGTTTTTTCTATTAATGTCCTAGTTTTTTTTATGAACTTCTCTCTATGGTACGAAGAATTTATGGATTTAAGCGCAGTCCTTGATTAGCTACAAGGTTTCATCCTTTTACAGTTGAAAAGTCTAGATGTAACCATCAGTTCTATGCTAACAGTTTCTTTTATCGCACTTCTCATTTGTGGAATTCTCTACCCACTTTTGCTTAACAGTCGATTTTGATCTTCGAAAATTTAAATGCAACATCCGCGTTACTCAAGATGTAAGTTACATGGTTATGATAGCATTCTCCATAGAAACACATGTGTCTCAATTCAATTTTCTACATCATCTATAGAGAGATTTCACTCTATTCACTTATAAATAGGAAATCGTATATTATATAGCAGAAAGATTAGGGTAATATGAACACGCGTGGAAAGAAAAAAATCGGTATATGAAAGTGTGCGTTACCTTATATTTAACTGACATTTGACAACAGTTTGTGTTTCGTTAAAGTCATTTTGAATACAATGCAAAGCCCTTGTACTATATTTCATAAGAAAACGTTATGGCAATCTATAATACAAATGTTTATTTAATATTCAATTTCTCTCTGTATTATGGAAAACTACAAAAATCTTTATGAATATCTCTAGACAATTTTTCATTTAACATTACGAAGACAGTAGGTATGTTGTTCAGCAAGAGTAATAGCCCAAGCTTCGAAAAACTACAAAAATCTTTATGGGCACCTCAAGACCATTTTTCATTTAACTTTATGAAGACAGTAGGTATGTTGGTCAGCAAGAGTAATAGCCCAAGCTTCGAAAAACTACAAAAATCTTTATGGGCACCTCTAGACCATTTTTCATTTAACTTTATGAAGACAGTAGGTATGTTGGTCAGCAAGAGTAAAAGCAGAAACTATGAAAAACTACAAAAATCTTTATGGACACCTCTAGACCATTTTTCATTTAACTTTATGAAGACAGTAGGTATGTTGGTCAGCAAGAGTAATAGCCCAAGCTTCGACAAACTACAAAAATCTTTATGGGCACCTCTAGACCATTTTTCATTTAACTTTATGAAGACAGTAGGTATGTTGGTCAGCAAGAGTAATAGCCCAAGCTTCGAAAAACTACAAAAATATTTATGGACACCTCTACACCATTTTTCATTTAACTTCATGAAGACAGTAGGTATGTTGGTCAGCAATAGTAAAAGCAGAAGCTACGAAAAACTACAAAAATCTTTATGGACACCTCTAGACCATTTTTCATTTAACTTTATGAAGACAGTAGGTATGTTGGTCAGCAATAGTCAAAGCAGAAACTATGAAAAACTACAAAAATCTTTATGGACACCTCTAGACCATTTTTCATTTAACTTTATGAAGACAGTATGTATGTTGGTGAGCAAGAGTAATAGCCCAAGCTTCGAAATATGGACGGGCAATAGCAAAATCAAACAGTTACAGAAGTTTAAGTATCAAGAAAGCGTTTATAACAGAAGCAGGGTAAATGTAAAACCAAATTCCGAAGGATCCTTGGAATAGCGAAAAATGCATTCGAGAAACTATGCGAAGGAATAAAAAAAAAGCTAAAAATTCGTTTCTAACAAATAAAGGAGTACTGAACTGCCATTTTATATCAATTCTTCAATATGGAAGTGAGTGTTTCACAAT